ACACACACACACACACACACACACAGAGAGAGAGAGAGAGAGAGAGAGAGAGAGAGAGAGAACAAATGAGAAAGGGAAAGAGCATAAGTGGGCGGAGGTCTTTGCTTTAAAGGGGTCCTTTGTACCTGCATGCTGACCAGGGTACTGCCTGAGTGCATTCTGCCAGGTGACAGGAGCAGGCCAGCATAAATGCCTGAATCCTTACAAAAAGGAAGCCTCACCTAGAGAGGCAGGGAGCAGAGGGAAGAGCGGGACCATTTCTCTCTTCTAGCACTTTCCAGGACTGACTCTGAGAATCAAGCTTGTACTCTCCAACCTTTGGGGCACAGCTCACATCCAAACCTCAGCCACATCTTAAGTTTGGGATCATTGGTTGGGATTGGTTCCAGGTTGGTATCAGCAGCAACTTTATTCTTCTTGATTCCACCCCCTTGTTATTATTACATCTTTTAATGTTGTGTAACTATTGGCTTGATTAATACATCTACCTTTTATACCATCCAAGAAACCAAAAAATAATAGACTAAAGCCATAATTCTCTTTTTAAAGTAATGTTTAATTATTTTTTTTAAGCAGGGATCTTTATATCTTTATGTGTCTTTGGTTAGTCTGTAGTGTGTTATCATTTCAGTGTAAAAGGTCCCTATGAGATTTTCTTTTTTTGTCACCCACCATGCCTTCCTACTTTGGAAGTGTCTTACCTTTGCCTTCAATTTTAAAGAATGGTTTTGCAGGATATAATCTGGGTTTTTCTCCATTTAGAACTTTAAATGTATTGTCCCGCTCCCTGTAACCCACATGGTGTCTAAAGAACAGTCTTTTGTTAATCTTATTTATTGAATAAAAAAATTGCATCTTGCTATTTGTAAGCTTTTCTTCACATGTTTGGCCTTTGGTAGCTTGGTTATAGTATGTTCAGTTGTGGGTCTCTGGGTCTTTCCTGCCTGGAGCCCTTGAGGCATCTACAACATGTTTTCAAGTGTCTTCATCAAATACCAGATGTTAGCCATGACCTTCAGGTTTGTTTTAGCCTTCTCTGCTTCCCCTAGAACTGCCATCAGTCATGTGCACCCAGAGTCAGTAGTTTCTGGTTTCTTGGCTTCTCTTCTCTCTTTTCCCTAACTGTTGCCCAGGCTAGCCTCTGCTAATCTGTATTGCCCTCCCTACTTCTTACAACAGCTTAAGTTTGCAGCTAGACTCCTTGTTTCTCTATCCAACGTGGTCCTTCTGTCCTCCTTATCTATCATTTTTCTGATTTCCTTTAGTTTTGCGCCCAGGGTTTCCTGCAACACTTTCAAAATAGTGAAGATTGTTCATTAAGAGGTTTTCAACTACATCACCCTGTCTGAGCTATCTCAATGTTTCCTGTGGCGACTTTTCCTGTGACTATCCATACTTTGCTGGTTCTTCCTGTGCTTTGTAAATTTTTTATTAAAAGTTGGGACCCTTGAATCAGTATCCAGTACCAGGTCACTAGCTAGCTCTACAGTTTGGGGCAGGGGTGGTGGGTGAGGAGTCCTGCAAGTGCTGGGCTTTGGTGGTGTTTGAATCCTTAGGTTTTGGAGGACAGCCACTGTAGCAACAGCAACAGAAGGTGGCGCCCTCTTCTGTTAGCATCTTGTATAGATCTGAGATAATGGAGCACTCTTGGGTAGGTGGGATTTCTCTGCCCTTGCTAGCAACCATTGGTGCAGCTTCTGGGCAGGCCATAGGTAGAGACCTTGGTAGCCCTTGATAGAGAACAGTGTTACAGCTCCTGAACCTGGGGGTGGGGGTCTGACATTCTTGCAGGAAGTCTTTACAGATCTCTGGGACTCTTCTGATGCTAGGGTCTGCATCTTATCTTCTCTCTTTCCAGCTTCCTGTCCTTCAGCTTCCTGAAACCCTCTTTTCATTCTGTCAGCCATCTTGTCTCTGTGATGGCTGCTCTCTGGGGACTGTTCACTGCCTCTTGTTGCTGTGGCTGCTCTTAGCTGCTGCCAACAGTCTAGTAGCTCTGCATCTTCTGCAGCTGCCAATGCATCCCGGTACACCGGTGCATCTTTAGTGTGGCCTGCTAATGGCTCCTCTTCTTCATCTATGAAGTAGGTAGCTACCCCACCGCAGCTTCTGCAGTGTGATGTGCAACCTTGCTGGCCACTTGCTAACCCTGCCATTGCTGTCCCATTGCCTCCTCCCTCGCCTGCAGGCCACTCTTTCTGATGCCTCTCCACTCTTTCTGTTGCTTCTTCCTCTCTGTTACTCACACAGCAAGAGGAGCCTTTACTGATGTTGCAACAGCAGGGGAGGCAGCAGGAAAGATGTCTCCAGCTACTCACCAATCAGCTGAATAGCCCGACAGGACAGTCAGAGGAAAGATTTGTTCATCATTCACAGCAAACTTCTCATCGGAATAAAGATTGGTGTTTGCACCAATCACAACATTGTCTTATTTGTACTACTCACAATAATCCTATTAGGCCACCAGCAAAAGTGTTTCTCGTCTGGCCTGGGGGTTGGAGCAGGGAAGGCTATTTAGAGTTCACCAAGGCTTATGATAGCAAAAAGCTGGGTGTCAATTGTTTGAAACAGTCCTGTGTGTGACTGCATCTTCAGGAGACAGAGCAAGCAGCTGTGATCTCCATGTAGTTTCTTCAAAGTGTCCCTGGAGTGTTCACAACGGCCAGTGTGAGCATAAGAGTGGAATGGCTGTTGTTTGATTGACAGCTCTTTTGCTTGGGAAAGCCAGAGAAGCAAGGCAGAGTCCAGCAGTTGCTAAGTAGTGTCAAATTGACTGGACTACAGTTCTTTTCTCATTTTTGGTAATGAACACCAGAATGAGCACTTACAATATACACCTAACTTATGATTGACACTGAAAGTTATCGTAACAGTGTTTATCACCTGCCCAGTGTCCCAGGGAAGGGTCTGTCCCCTCATCTGTGTCAGTCATTATGGAAATCAGAAATACATCCTTAGAAAGGATCCAAACTACACACACAAGAGAACATACAGGTTTGCAAAGCCATGCTTTTGATTGTTCCTGGTAGGATGCATTCTAAAACTACAAAGAGATCTCCATCTTAAATTGTCTCCATGGTGTGTTTTGTGGTTGGAAGACATTGCTATTTTGAGGCCATCTGTGTTGCTATGAAGTTAATCAAAATTGTGTTGAAGACAAAGGATTCTGACATGGTTGGAAGAAGATGCAGACCTGGAATTGATGGGTTAGGTTAAAACTACATAGCTTCCAATTTGATTTAGAAGTGCCAATATAAACTCATGGCATGTCTGGCAACTGGAAAGTTGAAAATAATGACCACTTAAAGAGTGAAGAGCAACTTGAGCACAAAAATTGTGTCATCTAAATCTTGTTTTTATTGAAAGGTACACATACTGTCCCAGATCTGAGGCAGGAAGTGTGTAAGGTGGTTCCAGAGTCACCAAAGAACCAGGAAGCAAGTGACAAGTTGAAGTTCATAGGTCCCAAGCAGACCCTAAGGACCCAGGGCTCAACTTGAGTGTGCAGTTATGAAGGTGATTGAACTTAGATCCATGTTTCCTAATGATACACTACACTATCCTACACACACACACACACACACACACAGCTTAGATCCACAGTACCTAATGATATACTACACTGTACACATACACACACATCAAACTACACTGAAACACTCGTTAGTTATCCCTGCAAGAGGCTCAGAAACCAGCTTTAAACGTCATAATAAACATAGGTTAAAGATGATGCAACTCATCATTTCAAGAGGGAATTAGGACATTTTCCAGGCACTTTTTGTAGAAATTAAAAACACTGCTGACAGTAACTATGAAATTCCCTTAGAAGTAGATGTGGAAGTTGCTGGTAGCTGTGGGTGACAATTAGTTCCATTCCCCCAGAGAAAATTTCTTTACATTTATATTGCCAAGAGTCATTTATACTAGGAATGGTTTAAAATGGCATAGTGACGAAGGGCAAAGTAGCCCAGAAGGGTACACTAGTAGGACCCTTTGGCAATTAGTGGTTTCCCTTGTTTCAAAATTTTCCTGACTCTCTCCCTGCTTTTTATCATTTAGCTTAGATTATTCCTGACCATAAAGAGGTGTTTCAGAAGATTCAGCCTGGTTGTCCACTCTATGGGGCTGACGAGGAAAACCCATGAAGGTGGAAGCCCATAGATTTAGGATTTGCCCAGCATTTGGGAGGCAGGAGGAGGGTTGAGGAGTTTGGGGGTGGAACGGGGTGTATAATGAGACCCTATCTGGAGGGGAGAAGAGAAGAGAGGAGGGGAGAGCAGGGAAGGAAAGGGGGGGAGAGCGTTCATAACTGTTACACCACATGGATCTCCACTATGTCCTGTGTGACCAACTTAAAAGTGAGGCAAGATGAGAATTCTTGAACTTGATACTAATGAGTGTTTAATTTTAACATGCATGACAACAGTACTTTAGCAATATTTACAAAAATGGCTCATAACTCTTTAGAAATGCACACTGAAACATCTAAGAACAGAGTTATTTGAATTCCATTTACGGCAGAATATTCCCCATGGGAGGGGCAGCAAGGAACAGCTGGCCCTGAGTTGGTTGGTTTTAGAGGATGGGTGATGAGTACCCAGGGCCTCTTTATACTTTTCTCTTTTGCACATGCACAAAATTTTCTACACTAAAAACTAAACAAAATCAATTTAACAACCTTCTAATCAATACACTCCTTTCCTTGATTTTGTTTAATAAGTTCTGGCATGTTCCTATTGAGCGTCTGGAATGCATAGTATTTTCAGGTTTTAGCTTCTAAAATTTAAATCATAAGTTCCAAAGAAATTCATGGTAACTTGCCACAGCAATTTAGGGTAATTTGAAGCACCATCTTGAGAAACAATCACATTTTCCTTTAAAACGTATAAATATTGTTTGTGTAATTACTTCATCAAGCCAAAGTGTTTGTACAGCCAAGCCATTTTCCCTCCAAGCTTTGCCAAGTGGGTAATCAGTTTTTGTGTTTGGTTTACTTCCAGATCACCTTCTTCATGCTGCTCTCTGCAGTGTGTGTGATGCTCAACCTAGCCGGCTCCATCCTCTCCTGCCAAAACGCCCAGCTCGTCAGCTCCCTCGAAGGCTGCCAGTTGGTGAGTAGTGCAAGGCAAACTCTCTGTGAAGGTCAGAGGATGTGATGTTGCAGGAAAACGTTTAAAGGATAATTTTACTGTGTTCTTTGGGTCTCCAAGAAAGATGTATTAATTCATTAGCTTTTTAGTTATGTAAGGGATTTCAGTCACATTGGTTCATTTCTATGAATTTTCCTGTAAATTATTCCCCCTCGCCCTTTTTTGATGCAGGATTCCCACCTATGTAGCTATGGCTGGAAGTCATTATGTAGACCAGGATAGCTTCAAACTTTTAAAAATGTTCCCACATCTGCCTCCCAAGTGGTGGAATTACAGACATACTCTCTCTTTCTCTCTCTCTCTCTCTCTCTCTCTCTCTCTCTCTCTCTCTCTCTCTCTCTCTCTCATGTGCCTGTGCATAAGTATATATTATGTGCCTCTTTGTGTGTGTGACTATGTGTGTGACTGTGCCTGTGAATGGGTGTGCGTGCCTGTGTGTGTGTGTGTGTGTGTGTGTATGTATGAATATGCAATACAACTTAATTAGAATTACTGTTGCTGTGATGAAACACCATGACTAAAAGAAACTTAAGGAGCAAAGAGTCTATTTGGTTTATATATCCTGAATCTCAGTCCATTTAGGGAAGCCAAAGCAGGAACTCAAAACCAGTCAGGAACCTGGAAACAGGAGCTGATACAGAGGTCATGGAGGCTTGCTGGCTTGTTTAGCCTGCCTTTGTATAGACTCAGGACCACCTGCCCAGGACTGACACCACCCACAATGGACTGGTTCCTCCCACATCAATCAATAATTAAGAAAATGCCTTACAGGCTTGCCCACAGCCCATTCTTATGGAGGCAATTTCTTTATTGAGGTTTCCTTCTCTCAGCTGTGTCAAACTGGCATAAAAAATAGCCAGCAGTGTGTGTGTGTGTGTGTGTGTGTGTGTGTGTGTTTGTGTCTGTGTCTGTACATCTGTGTGTGCCAGTATGTGTTTGTATGGGTATGTGTATGCCTCTCTGTATGCATATACTTGCTGGTTCAAAAGAGCTATGTACCTAAGAAAATTTCAGGCTCTCTTAGTTGGGATTTCTGTTGCTGTGAAGAGATACCGTGACCACAGTAACTTTTATAAAGGAAAACCTTTATCTGGGCCTGGCTTACAGTTTCAGTGGTTTAATCCATGATCATCATGGTGAACATGGCAGTTCGCAGGCTGAGAGCTCTACATCCTGATCCCCAGGCAGTAGAAGCAACTGTGTATCACACAAGGTGTGGCTTGAGCATAGGAGAACTTAAAGCTTGCCACCACAATGATGCACTTCCTCCAACAAGGCCACACCCACTTCAACAAAGCCACACCTCCTAATAGTGCCACTCCTTACTTCAAACCACCACACAGGCGTGTGCTGTACCGTACAGAGCATCCGTAAGTGATTCGCTGGATAGAATTCTCATCTCCAGGTAACTCAGCTTGTCACCCTACCATATCCTCAGCTCTTTAGAACAGGAATTAAAGTGCATCTGAGAACATGGTTAGACTCCTGGCGGGGACCGCGGCCTCCAGGGGCAGGGGCGTCTCATTGCTTCTTTATCTTCATGACAGCACTGGGCTCCCCCTTTTGAGCCATGAGGCTGCCCAGCTGCCTGTCCACGTGGACTGTCAGTGATCATTCTGAGAAGTCAGGAGGGAGGTACCCTGACAATTTCTACGATAGGGCTATGCTGCCCTTTCTTGGAGCTGTGTTACTTAGGATCAAGGAGGAAAACTGACAGTTTCCATGCTGAATCACTTACTGAGTTGCAGAAACTAACTGTTGGAGAGTAGTCTGGATTGTGTTCTAGAGGTCAAGGACTAGCGTTCCTCTGCTGTGACATTGACAGCACCAGCACCATCCTCTGCAGGTGCCTTGTCCCCATGGTTACTAAGAATCCACAGAGCCTGGACTCCACCTTTATCAACAATGGGGCCTTGCCATCTTGTCTCCATAGCTTAGCACCCTCTTTGTTCCTAAGTGCTATAGTATAAACTAGCCATTTACAGGGGCTCAGGGCATTTTATCTGACATTCTTATTTCCCTAGGCAAAGCACGGTAGGAGATAAAGTGTCTGGGGTAAAGTGGCAGTGCCTGGCAGCCCAGATAAAAGTGAAAACTCACACACAGTCTTTGGGCTTAAAGTGCTGTCCCTCACAAGCCTGACCATGTTTTGGAACATCAGGCACTAGAAGGAACAGGAAAGTTAGATCCAGTTCCCTCATGCTTTCTGATGAATGAGAAGAGCATTATGCACACAGAGGGCCACATCGATGCCACTCTCTGACAGGCATCTTTGACTAGATGTTACAATGGAAGCATCCCCATCTGTCTCACTTAGAGGGAATCGCAAGCGTCCCTCTGCCCAGGCACACAAAGGCCAGTCCTCTGAGGCTTGGGGGCCATGTATGGAATAGTGATCTGCTCATATGATCTGACTTTATACTGTGCCCTTCTCTCCCTCACTTTACTTCCCTTTCCTGTTATATGTGGTGATTCTTTGCCTCCTGTTCTTCATAGGCTATTAAATGACATAGACATCTGTTGAACAGTAGATATGACATAGTCTACTGTTGAAGTAGAAAACAAAGTTCATTTTCAATTTTATCAATTACTTGTCAGTATCTCCCCAGGCTTTCCTATGTATACCACATATGTACAGCCACACCTCTATGCAGTATAATTATATGTGCTCTAATACCCATGCTGCTTTGTCACTTGCTTGCAATTGGTCATGAGCAATATTCCATGTTTTAGAATACCTTTCTATAGCTAATTGAATTCAATGAGATTCAAGAGGAAATTCACCAGCACAAAGTCAGGAGCTGTGAAGATCAATTTGTCAACATCAAAAGGATTAGAATCTCCTTTGAGACAAATTCAGGATTTATCCATGAGGGGGTCTCTAGGTTGGATTCCTTGAGAAGGGAGGTCCAATCCTAAGTATGAGTGAACCATTCCATGGGCTGGGGTCACAGATTGCATTAAAAAGAGGAAGTGAGCTGAGTGTCAGAATTTTCCTCTCTCTGCTTTCTGGTTGCTAAGTAACGAGCACTCTTGGCTTCTGCTGCCATGCTTTTCCCACCATAATGGGTTGCAGCCTCAAATCATGAGCCAAAATAAGTTCCTCCCTCCTTGACTTTGGTGGAACAATGAGGAAATGTGATGGAGGCAAGAAATGTATATGGATAGTCAACATGCAACCAGTGCATATATTCTACCCTCCCAGAACACTTGCATGTATGAACACATGCACATGTGAACAGTTAGACACATTTATCTAATTTGGGGTTTTTATTCTGTCCCAACTTTGTGTCTGGCCATTCATTACTTTCTCTTTCATTTTCTTGTTTTGTTTTTTGTTTGTTTGTTTGTTTGTTTGTTTGAGACAGGATCTCATTTTGTAGCCCCGGCTGGACTGGCACTCACTGTGTACACCAGGCTGACCTCAAACCCACAAACCTGCCTCCACTTTCAGAGTACTGAAATTTAAGGTATATATCATATGCCCAGAAAATTATCTACTTGATTTTTATTGCTAGTTAGAAATCCCTATTCCCATACATCTAGCCTACTTCTTGAAAACATTCTTGCCTGTTCTTAAATGTTTAGTCTCCAAAACTAAATTTGAACTTTGAAATTGGGGTGGGGGTGTCTAGAATTAAAAGCAAGGACTTGAGATTTTAATTAGAATAGATAACATTGATACATAGCCTTGAGAACTGATGTTACATACTTCCTTATCTTCCTACTCAAGGACACAGGGTATGTTTTGTTTTCTCTAAATTTTCTCAACTAATTGATTGTGGATTTTAGTTCTCTTTAAAACAGGTGGTACATAATTATATGGACATAAAATATTTGTGTCTCTTCTATGCACATTTTGAAATCATATTGTTTTATCTGCATAGAAAAGGCCTGTAAGTGAAAGTAAGTTTCTCATTCTACATATCTGGGACACACTCTTATCTTCCAGAAGTAGCATCTAATAGTTTCTTTTTACCTTTCTAGCCATTGTTCCATGCATGCTTTTTTTTTTGTGTGTATCATTATTACATGTGTGGCAGTTTACACACAGGCACATTGCTTTTGTCAGACAACCATGTAAACCATGTACTTGCTGACATTTCCCAATGAATTCTTAGAAAGGTTTGTTTGTTTGGTTTTGAGTTTTTGTTTTGTTTTTTGTTTGTTTTTGTTTTTGTTTTGTTTTGTTTTTGTTAATCAGAGACCAGTGTAGAAGTTCGCTTGGTAGATATGTGGTGCTCTAGTAGCTGTCACTTCATGAAGGAGTCTAGTCTTTTGACCAAATGAAGTTAATACAGAATACAACTGTCTACTCAAGGAATGCAAAGTGCCTGATGCAAGGGAGCTGGCCTAGGTGCTGAAGGCATGGTTGTGCATAAGACAGGAACCTGCAGACAGGCAGACTACTCAGAGTAGTCTCCGTTAATGCATGTACATGTGCACTTCAGTGAGTTAGCTTTGGGAGACACCCATCACTTTGAGGCTTAGACGGAAGAATCACACATTATCTTTGGCTGCCTACTTATATTTCATTTCAGAAAACTAAGAGTAGTGCTCTTGCTAATAAGCTCAAAGCCTTGGGCTGAATCTCATAACAGACAGAGAGACAAGACAGACAGACAGACAAACAGACAGACAGAAATAGTAAAATGCATGAACTTATTTCTAGCTGGTCTTCAAAAACAAGGCAACATATAACACTTCTGTCAACAGTGTGACTGTGCCTGGTTGCCCAGCCCTATGCAAATACTCATGTGTATTATCAGAAGTGCCCTTTGTCATCTGGCAAGAAAAGTGATATCTCATTACATTATTTAATTTCCTTAATGAAAAGTAAAGTAAGATTTTTGACAGTGTATATATGTTACCTATTTTCTGTTATGTTATCATTTTTATGATTAAAGGCCTACCCATTATTATATGTATTGTAATTGTTCCTTTTCCCCCTGATGTTTGTT